GGCTTAAAAACAAGATGCAAACAATCTGAATATTGTGCCTGGTGGTGGAGTGCATAATGTAAACATGAAACACATGCCATTACCTATATTGTACTGTGGTACAATTATGGAGGCCCTTCATAATGCAGAGGTCAACAGCCTGCTCTGCCAATAGTTAGAAATGGCACTATAGTATGCAGTGTTTAATAAACAGCTGTTTTACTAAACTCTTCTGGGTGAAATTCAACGCAGTCCCATATCGTGATATGTATCGTATCGTGGCCTCTATATCGTGATATGTATTGTATCGTGACTTTGCTCGTGATACACAGCCCTAGTTTACACACTGTTTAATGCAGGGCATGAATGCATTTAACCTGCAGTTACAAATGCATTAATAATTCATTAAACATTGAATACTGATATCTGAAATTATTTAAATAATAAAAAATACTTTAATTTTGCAATTAAAACCGCCAGTAGGTGGCAGCAAGTCACTGTTAATCAGCTGTGGCTTTGTTTGGAATTATTTTTGTTGTCGAAATAGAGCAAAAACAGGCAATATGGTGTCTACAATCTAAGTTTCTTAATAAACTTCTAGTTTATTGAACTGTTGTAAAAAAAATCAATATCATTTGTAATGATGGTAATTTTTGGAGACAAAAACGGCACTCTTCGTGTGATTTTGATTCACTTTATTAAGTGCTATAAATATATATTTTCTGCCCCCATGTCTTGAATTTGTGATCATTTTAAATGTATTTTAATAGACTGAATCATGCAGTGAAAGAAACGCTCACTGGTCTAGACTTCACGTAATGCATGCATGCAATCTGTAGGTGTGTTTTGAATGTTTTTTGCACGATGTCAAATCGCACATTAAGAGCAATAATTACGATATTATCGTGGACGATATACATATCGCACAGGCCTAATCAACACTTACCACATTCCTCTCCCTCTCCGTGTACGGCCGCGGAGAGGGCGGGTCCGGTATAATGGGCGGTTCTTCTGTGTGAGGGGGCGGAGCCACTACCTTAATGTAGGTGGACTTATTTCTGGAGGCGGGAGGAGGCGGGACCGGACTCTCATCTGGGGACCACAGACAAACAACTGGCTTTAGGTAGGAAAGGTACATTATTTTTCACTAAATACGGTTTCTCTTGAAAATGCACCATGTTTTCTGGTCGCCTCACCATAATCCGGAGCGGCCCAGGGTTCGGGTGGTTTCTGAAGGATCAGCTGAGGTGGAGAAGATGCTTGTCGTGAGTTTCTCCGTGTGACGTTTCCAACAGCGGCTTTACTGCAGAATCAAATCACAAATGTAATCAGCGTGATATGCGAAGATGATTATTGAGGAGATGAGCTGATGAGCTCTAACCTGGAGTTAGTCAGTCTGTGATCGTCTCTCTTGTTCTGCAGGAGCCGCTCCAGGCCTTTCTTCAGATAATCAGCCTGAAGAACACATGAAAACCACAGAAGCGGTTGATTGCGAGAAGCGCTGAGATGCTGAACTCGTCCGAATCATAAACTCACCCTGAGAGACTCGCTCTGGAAGAGGAAGACGCTGACTGCACGACTGCCGCGCTCCTGAATGCAGACGATCAGCAGAGAGTCGTAAACTCTC